TAAAACCTGGAGCACTCACCTGAGCCAAAGCCATTTGCAATTCAAGCTCTGCCAGGCGTCTCCCCATGCAGCTGCGCTTGCCAAAACCAAAGGGAAGAGATGCAAATGGGTGGGGGGTGGGACCCTCCCCCAGCCATCGGGCTGGACGAAAAGAATTTGGCTCTGGGAACTGGGCAGGGTCCCTTGAAGTGGCATAGTGACACAGAGTGACCAGCGTCTGATGGGAAGGAAAACAAACTTGTCAGTTTGGGCCCAGAATGGGGACAGGCATGAAGAGGAGGATATTCAGACAGGGACAAAGGCAGGTCCTGGTGGGTGATGGGGAAGTTTTTTGGGGCTACTCTTGGAAGGATCTCTCCACTGTCCCATTACATCCGAGAAAGGCATATCCTAGAGAGAGGTCAAGGGAAGTATTTGAAGGGCTTTTGGGAGAGTGTTTGAGAACAGGGGTGAGGCCCAAGATAGTGAGGAATGCCTCAGTAGAAAGGGTGCATAGGCTCTACTCACATTTTTGGGAATAATATAGTCACCCACATGAATATCTTTGTCTGGGACACGAGAATTTCCAGGTACCACAGGGTACAGTCTAGGTTGCAAAGCACAAAATGGACATGGCAAGGTAAGGCTAGGGGCTGCAGCCTCCTTCTCGTTGTTTCCAGCTTCCAAACCCTTTTTGGCCACAAGTAGAGTGCCATTTTTGTCTGCTGTCTCTCCCTGCTTCCATCCACTATTTGCTTCCCCAGCCCTTCCCTGGCATTTCCTCTTGTTCCTCCTCTCCTTCCCGCTCACCTTAGCACTTCCTTGACCACCGCCTTCAGCAGGGGCAGCTGGGACAGAACACTGGCTGAAGGGTGGGCACTGGAGCCAGGGCCCAGGGCAGCTGTGATCTCGGAGTGGAGTGCTGTCTGTACTTCGGGGTGCCGGGAGAGCTCATACAGAGCCCAGGAGAGTGTGTTGGACACCTGAAGGACAGGTGAAAGCAAGAGAGGTGTTGGGGTGTGGGAACCCAGCAGAGGGCGCAGATTATGGGACAGTCTGGGGCTACGGAGTGCTAAGCCAAGCTGGTGTACCTGGCCATAATGGAGCCCCTGCAACAGAAAAGTGGCCGCAGAGTCTGGGGAGGCTAAGCCCTGGAAGTGGGGATCACAGCACGGAGGGAGAACCTCACCGTGTCCACTCCCGCCAGTAGCAACTCTGTCACATTCCCCAGGATGGACTGGGCAGGCAACTCTTCCCGGAACAGGAAGTGAGTCAGGTGCGCCCCAGATTCCAGGTCCTCCTCGGGCTGTCCTCGGTTCCTCATGGCTGCCTCAGCCTCTCGCCGCTCCACGTGCCTCTGAGCTGCGTGGGTAGAGGGCACGTGATGCCTCGCTACCCCTGGACAGCTTTACACTACCCCATTCTCACTTCGTTCTGTGCCTTACCGAATGCAAACATCTGGTCCCAGTCTCGGCAGAGGCGGCCCCAGGGCCCGGGCACAAGGTGGCGCAGCCACTGGGGCATCGCCATGGTCAACAGCGTGGACACAAACACCGAGCCCACCGCGCGGATGAAGGTCTCAGTGTCGGGCGGTACTTGCGCCTCCAGGCAGCCCAAGCGCGAGCCGAGAAGTACCGCGGCGATGCCTGGTCGAGAGGGGGCGCCGTCAGGGTCCGGGAGGCTCCGGCAGGGCGCCCCGATGACCGACCGCGCAGCTCTGTCCAGGGACTCACCTTCCAGTCCGAACTTGTAAAATTCCCCCGCCACGTCTCGAACCAGGGCGGGCGGCCCCATGCCACGTCCCCGCTGGCCCCTCAGACGCCGCACAAGGTCACGGACCACATAGTCCAGGGTTCCGGCGTAGCGGGCGGCTGCTTGAGGCCGGAGGAGGAGCGGGGCCAGGAGACTGCGGAGCCTTTGCCATTCTTCGCCTTCCCTGCGGGGTTGAAGAGAGAGTGCGCATCAGGGAGGTGGGACGGCTCGACGGGGCTGGCTGCAGTGAAGCAGCGCGTTTGGCTGTGGCGGCCGGGAAAGGGATTGCGTCTGCCTCCTTGGGGTACAGAACCCCTGCGCCTGCCTGCGCCTGTCTTCCAGCCCCCTTTCTCCTTACTCATTTCCTGCCCGGAAGGGCCGGGATTCCCGGGTAACTTGAGTCACAGAACCTTACATTCATTCCGTCCAGATCCTGGTACCCTAGCCCAATCCTGCCGGTTTCCTCAGTTCCCAGGATTCTGGCCTCAAAGGATAAGGAGGTAGGCGGGGAGTGAGGTTGGGGCTCAGCCCGAGTGCGGGTGAAGTAGACTGGGATGGGAACCCCAAGATGCCCAAAGGTAGAATGAAACAGCCTACCCCCCACCAGGCCCGCAGATAGATAGTTAAGGGACCGCAGCTGGAGATGGCCGCTGAGGGGCGTCTGGGCTTCGAGGGACAGAGAAGACTCACGCGGTGAGCAGTCCACAAGCCCGCTGGCGGCAACGGCGGTGCTCGGTCCAGGGCGAGAAGCTGCAGCGCTCGGGCTGGGGTCCCTCCTGTCGCAACAGCTCCTCGACGAGGGCAGGGGCAGCCACGTACACGGTGCGCACTGTCCCAAAGCTGGCCAGCCAAACCGGCCCGAAGCGCGCGGCGCCCTGCACCTGGGGGAGAAGGCGCAGCGGACCCTTGGATACCTGAGCGAGGACTTTCAGCTTGACCTGTGCCCACACCAAGGGTGTTGACTGGGCTTGGGAAGAGGGAGCTTCTGCTCCCTCTCGGCTTCCCGGCTAGTGTATGCGCTTAATATTGCGAATTCCTCCTCTTCCTCTCATTTCCCACCCCTAGAAAGTTTGAGTGTGATGAGCAAAACAGGAACTTTGCACAAGGCGGACATTCAGGACCTCTCTGATCATCTTGGTTGAGGAGAAATCTCTAAAGGTTCCATGTCTGGACTGTCCATCTCAGGACGAGTCCTCAGTGAATGAATAGGAGCCCGTGTAGCTTTAAGCCGCACGCAGGCGGAGGGTACTGTGCCTTCTGCCTCCAGCACACTTGCACTGGATCTGCAGGGTCTCCAAACCTCAGGACAGCGAGAAGGTGCTTTCCGAGCGCCCTCTGCTAAGAGTCGGGACGGACTCTGCACGGGTCGAGCCCCACGGCCCCCCGCCTCAACCGCTTTTTCCTTAATTCATGGGCATCCGTTCTCTGGCTCTCTCACATTTGTTCTGCACTAGTCAGTCCCTTCTGACGCTTTCAAAGCCAGTTTCTCCAGCACTCAGTCTTGGGAAAGGCGTCCCTTCCTACCTGCAGCTCGTGTAGCCTCGACAGTCCCCCCTTGCAGAAAAGTTCGGCCAGAAACCTGGGCGTAGAGGGGCCTGGGATGTCTGCCAAACTCCGGCGCGCAGAGTCGTACTCTCGGTAGCCTAGGGAGGCGCCCAACTCGGACGCCCAGCGTCCGCGATGGTACACTCTGGAGGCGAACTTGAGGGTCTGGGTCATGGTCTGGTTTGGGGATCCCGCGAAAGAAAGCGCTTCTCCTGAGCATCTTGTCTGAACCCCTATTTAACCTTTGGGTCAGGTGATGACGCCCCGTCTCCAAGCTTTCAGCCAATCCCTCCTCCTGAGTGGTCTGTGCTGGGGATTAGCACCCAGGAACAGTAGGCGGGGCTGGGGCTGACTTCACAACTCCCTTGGGTCTCCTGTTGCAATGACCCTCATAAGAGGGAGGGCCTGAGATTTTCCTCCTGGGAGAGTACCCTCGTCTAGGAGCCTAAAGGTCTCATCCTAAGAAAGGCTATAAGGCTTTTTAGTATGGACTAGGAGACCAAGCTACACCAGTCAGTCTCTGATACTTCCACCACTTCCACCAGGGAGCCCAGCCCCTTCAGATCCATTTCAGGAATTCCCCATCTTTCGGCTCCTCCGGGAAGGGAAGCAGGGAAGAGGCACAGCTGTACATGTCCCCACATTCTTGGCTCACTGGGCTGTATCTTCTTTGCATTATTTTCCTGCACTAGCCACATCTCCCCCTCCTCCTTACCTAACATATACTGGGCAGATGGCAGGTGGGTTAATAGGCTAAAATGGCTCCTAGAGCCTCCATCTTTCTTTCTTGAGGATAAGGGGTCTCTTGGGTTTACAAGCCCCCTCCTTCCAGCCATGGGAATTCGGGGCTTGAGAAGCAGAAATGAAGAAATTTTTGTACATTAGTAAAGTTCAAAGATTGTCTCCGGGCTGTTAGAGGAGCTGAGTGGATATGGATGTTCCGATTCCCCAGCTGACTCAGTCTCCTCTGCGGGGCTTTCTGGTTAGCAGCCCCTTTCCACTTTCAGCCTCAGAATCCTCCACATGGCCATGCGGGGTGGCTCATGCCTGTAATCCCAGCACTCCGGGAGGCTGAGGTGGGAGGATGGCATGAGGCCAGAAGGTTGAGACAGGCTTAAACAATATAGCAAAACTTTGTCTCTATAAAAAAAAGTTTAAAAATTAGGCTGGGCATGGCAGCTCATGCCTGTATTCCCAGCACTTTGGGAGGCTGAGGTGGGCACACTGCTAGAGCTCAGGAGTTTGAGATCAGCCTGGGTAACATAGTGAAACTCTGCCTCTACAAAGAATACAAAAATTAGCCAGGCATGGTGGTGCATGCCTGTAGTCCCAGCTACTGGGGAGGCTGAGGTGGATTGCATGAGCCCAGGATGTCAAGGCTGCAGTGAGTTATGATTGTTCCACTGCACTCTAGACTAGGCAATAGAGAGAGAGCCTGTCTCTAAAAGAAAAAATTAAAATAAAAGAATCTTCTATAGTTTACCTCTCTGCTCCTTACTCCCTCATTCTCTACTCCACCCCTGTCTGGCTCTGTGCCAGTCAGTCAGCTCTGAAGTTCTGGAATTGAAGGTCAATGTGAAAGAGGAGAGGGTCTCCACCCCTATACCTTCCCAAGGATTCTCCAGAGACAACAGTAAAAGGAACACAGATTCCCCAGGTCAAGTCTTAGAGAAGGAGAAGACAGGAGGATGGGAGAAGGCATATGATACATACTCCAGCCTTTCCTGGGAAATGGCAGAATGGGCACGTGTATATACATACATGTTATCCCAGGACCGCAAAGTAAACACAAGTGGTAATTGAGCCCAGGCAGGCAGCTTAGATGGACTACATTCCTCATTCCAGCTAAGAAGAGATCGAATAAGAAGGGAGTGCTAATGGAGAGCAAGACCCCACAGCCTTCCAAAGATCCCCTATGGCCCAAAGTCCTCTGACCATCTCAATCAGCTGCTTTGTTTTATGTTGGCAGTGGAGGGACAAGGTGAGAGGAGCCAGGGGTAGTCATGAACACCAGTGGGTTCTGCCCGGGCAGCTCCCCACCTTCTTTGAGGGAGTACTGTGTCTCAGCTCCAGCGTTCTCAATTGGGAAGACCCGGGGCGCTTGCTCTTTTCTCTAGTCCCTGGAAGACAAGGTCCAGCTAAGGTAGAGTACGTAGTCAGTGACCAGGCAGGCTGGTTTAGGGGGTTACTGCCTGGAGGACGGGATCTTGTATTCTTCGGAAGATGGCTGGGAAATTCTTCCCTCCGTTACGTAGAACTTTCTTCCCCTCCTCAGTTGAGGTGCCTAGATGTCCCACAATAGGGTCTTCACTCTGGGAGAAGGAAGGGTCCAGTAAATCCATGGCCACTGTTCAGACTACCCCTGGCCCTTAGACTCCCATCCCATCCCTCTGACACTGAGCTAAGTTCAAATACAAAACCACTGCAGCCTGCATCTTGGCAATTTCCCTTAGACGCCCTACTCACCAGGTCCTCCAGGGGCACACGCTCAAACAGCGGGTGCTCTTCAAAATGAGTGCACATCCAGTCATGTAGCTCCAGCACATCGGTTATGGTATACACCAGCCCCTGCATAGGCAAAATCACCCTACACAGGGGGCTGCATGCAACATCAGCAGCCAAACGATGGGAGTGGTGGTGTGAGTCCCTAAATGTACACCCACTGAATTCTTAGTGAAAGGCCCCTGAGTAGGATATTCACCCCATCCTCCCCCCATCCCGACTCACCCCAACTCTCAGCACATAGGCATATTCTGCTAGCAGTGTGGGACTGATAATTCGCCACTTGTGCTTTGTCCGCTTGAAATGTGGGTCGGGGAAGAGGAAGAACATCTTTGTCAGCTGTGAGACAGACACACATGAACAGGGTTGTGACAGCCCGGCCTGCATGCCCTTACCTGCTTACCCGCCTAACCCACCAGGACCCCTCCCCACCTGGCCCTTGTAGAAGAAGTTGGGAAGGTGCTTCATGGCATTGCTACGGAGACAGGCGATGTTCTGGAAGCCACCTCCGGGAGCTGCGCGTAGGGCCCGAATCCGGTCTTGTACATAGTCTGAGACCTTCACCCGGATCTCCAGACCCAGAATCAGTGTGTCTGGAAACAGTGGTGACAGTTCCACTGGACATAGAAATAGCAATGGAATCATCAACTTGTAGGAAGTGCAAAGGGGTCAACCCAGGAAAGGAAGCCTCAATATGCAACTACCAAAGTTGAGAATGGCAAGAGAGAACAGAGATACACATACAGATAGTTTTATGCTGAAGAGGCTGGGGGAGAAATCAAAACTGTCACCAGGACAAGAATGGGAGGGGTGAGAATACGCATATATTTGCTATTTCTTTAGAGTTTCCACTGCGTTTTCACACATTGTGTTATTTCATCCTTAGAACACTCTGTGGTAAACTGTGAAGATGAGGAAACTGAGGGTCAGAAATGCCCAAGATCATAGAGTTATGAAGGGGTAGAACTGGAACTTATTTATTTGAGGTGGAGTTTTGCTCTGTCACCCAGGCTGGAGTGCAGTGGTGCAATCTCAGCTCCCCACAACCCCTGCCTCCCAGGTTCAAGCGATTCTTGTGCCTCAGTCTCCTGAGTAGCTGGTCTCGAACTCCTGGCCTCAAGTGATTCACCTGCCTCAGCCTTCCAAAGTGCTGGGTTACAGGTGTGAGCCACTGTGCCTGGCCAGAACTGGACCTGAATCCAAGGTTTCTGCCTCTATATACCATGTTCTTCCTCTCTATCAGGCTGTTATCTGTTTGGGAACATCTAAAAATAGGGAGTGGCTTGGCATACATGGGTAGGACAATACAGATAATACAAGAGGAACCCAAAAAGCAGGAGAGTGGGACAGAAGGAATGAGACCTGGCGAGGGAGGGGCAAGGGGGAGGGGAGATGGTAGAATCCCTGAGAAAGACAGTTCAGGATCACTGGCCACAATGGCTAATCTCTGACGCTTGTGCTGACCAGCTCACTGACCCGGCACCTGGCAGGTGAAATGGCTCATGTAGGGACTGAAGCCAGATAGGACGACCCAGGTTACAAGAAGCATTTGAAGCAGCCCCCTCCATTCTCCAGGGCAAAGGCCACAAACCCAGAGTAGAGGGAAGGTAGAGAGCCCTTCCATGCTGATGTCACCAGTGTCTGGATGAAAGGGGAAAGGCCAGTTATGACCCCCCACAAAACCCGCTGAGGCAGCAGAAACTAGGCCTCTTCTCACCCCAGAGAGAAGGCCTGAGTGTTACCTAACAGGCCACCATAGCCACAGCCTATGTCTGCAAACTCCACTTGGGCCTGAGCTCTCTTTTCTTTCTCATCCTTTGGGTCATCGTGACTCTGATTTTGAGTGAGTGGAGCGAAGAACTCTGGGTATAGCTCAGACCAGTCCATCTCCTCTGGCTTCACAGGGCTGTTGGAAAGAAGACACAGAAGCATGAAAAGGTTGGTCACATTATTGCAAAAGTGGTACTGTGAGTTTGTGGGTGGGTGAGGGTGGGAGCTAAATGGGAGGAGGGTTTCTCAAAAATTCTGTAACCCTGGGCCCTGTGGCCTCTAACAGGGACAATGGAAACCACCCTTAACCCCCCGGGGTGAATCATAGGTCCATCATGAGACCCATAATCACTGATCTGCCCAACTCCACTTCTGGGGGTTGATGTGACCTTGGCCGCGAAGCTGCCCTTTCTGGGGCACAAGTTCCCCTTCTTGTTAGACTGGCTGCCTAACGCACTGCGATCCTACTTTGTGTTTGCTTTCTGCAGGGAGGGAAGGTAAGGTGTGGGCAGGATTGTGTATATGTTTGCCTTTTTATTAAATCCAACAGCAAAAGCAAAAGATGGAAACCACATTGCGCCTCTATCACTTCAGTCTCAGTAACAATTTATTTCTCTTCCCAAACTTGGCAGCGCTACCGACTTAGGCCCGAAAGCCACGCCCACTCCCAACCCGCCAACTCCTCATTCCCTCGAATCTCCCGGTCCCACCCCCAAAATGACGTCACTCATCTGATAATCCCGGGTCTATCCCAAATCCTCCCAGCAGTCTCAGCACAGCTGCTCTCCCGGCTGCTTTGAGAATCCCGCCCTCCTCCCTCCCTCTGCCTGCTCCTTACTAGCGCAGCGTGTGGTCCGCCATGGGGTTGGAGTGAGCACGTTGCCGGTAGTAGCGCTTCTGAGGCGGCGGGGCCTCTGCTCCGGCAGCGTTCCAAGACTCGGCTGCCATGATCCCAGTCCCGGGTTTCTCTACCAAACCCACGTGGAGGGGCAGGCCGGGGGCGCAGGTTAATGACGCAGACAAGCGCTTTGGGGGCAGATCCCGCCCCTTAAAGACCCAGGAGCAAATTCGGCTGGGCTGGGTTGAGCTGGGTGGGGAGGGCTGTAAGGAGCGAGTGCTGGAGGGAATCTCTGCACCGTTAGTCTTCGACTGGGAGAGCGAGGCCAGGCACAGGCACCCAACAGTTTCCCTTAGCTTGCTTCTGCCTGGTCTGGGATACCATCCTAGTTGCAGGCACCTGTGCACCCCACAGGTGAGAGGGGTCTAGAGACCTGGCCTCCTACAGTAGCGTCAGTCCTTGCTCCTCTCCCCTTACTCCTGGTCTCGGACCAGTGCGTCCCGTCTGACTTGTGTGTGGTCCCGCCTGGGTTTCGCCGGGTGTGCGCTCTGGGCTGGGGCGGGAGGCGCAGCTCCTCATTCCACCTCCAGGAAGTCGAACTGGAGGAGGGGGGGCAAACTCAGGGAGGCGGGGCTCGGCTCTCACCACGGGGACAGCACGACGGCCCACGGCCCCCCGCCTCTACCCCGCTCCGGATCCGGGATCTGAGCGCCGGCCGAGGTGCCCGGGCACTCCCTCGGCGGGCCGGATGGCGGACCCGGGCCCAGATCCCGAATCTGAGTCGGAATCGGTGTTCCCGCGGGAGGTCGGGCTCTTCGCGGACTCTTACTCGGAGAAGAGCCGGTTCTGCTTCTGTGGGCATGTGCTGAACATCACGCAGAACTTTGGGTCCCGCCTCGGGGTGGCGGCGTGCGTGTGGGACGCGGTGAGGAATGGGCTGCGCCGGGTTAGGGTCTGTGGGAGGTCCAGACTCCGGACTCCGCCTCTCCCATATGGAGCCATCCTCCCGACTGTCTTTTTCTCTCTCTTATCTCCCGTAGGCCTTGAGCCTGTGCAATTATTTCGAGAGTCAAAATGTGGATTTCCGAGGCAAGAAGGTGATTGAACTGGGTGCGGGGACAGGCATCGTGGGGATCTTGGCAGCGCTGCAGGGTGCGTAACCTGGCTTTGAGGCAGGAGAGAGTGGGGACCCAGGGGCGGGGAGAAACGGGCACTTCGTGGATCTTTGGGGAGGGGGAGTACTTTGGACCCAGTCCAACCCCTTCTTTTTAAGAAACTTTTAAAATTTGTTTTTAAAAAGTTTTGTGTACCAGACAGCGCGAATTGCCTGTCAAAGCACCGAGGGTGGGAGATTGGGGAGGGCAGGAAGTAAAACTCAGGTAGTCTTTATAGGAGTTGCTTTATCGTGTTGCTCTTTTTTTTTTGTTTTGTTTTTTTTGAGACAAGGGTCTCAGTCTATCGCCCAGGCTGGAGTGCAGTGGCTCGATTCCCACTCACTGCAACCGTGGCCTCCCGAGTTAAAGCGATACTCATGCCTCAGCCTCCCAAGTAGCTGGTATTACCATACCGGGGTAACTTTTGTAGTTTTAGTAGAAGATGGGGTTTCACCATGTTGGCCAGGCTGATCTCAAACTCCTGACCTCAGGTGATCCAACTGCCTCAGGAGGTGCCTGGGATTACAGGTGTGAGTCACTGCACCTGGCTTTGTGTTGCTGTCTGTGATATCACGGAGAATGCTATCACTTAAAAGCTCCTTGGCCTTGGACATGGTCTTCTGTCAACATACACATATGGGGATACTCTGTAGGGAGACTTGCGGACATTAGACTTCATGAGTGCTTTATAACTTTATTACGAATACGTTTCAGATTCCTTAGGTTTTCATTGCTAGGAGAAACAAGCTTATGAGTTTACAAGGGTTAAGATGTGTTTTGTAGGAAGTGGAGGTAGGAATTAGACACTGCAGACTTGGAAAAGGAAAAGGTAAGGAAAAATTTGCTTCTGTTTTCTCAACAACCAAAAATTACAGAGGAAACAGTTTCACAAATTATAATCTAATGGGCAGACAAAAACCTAAAATTGAAAGCACTCATTTAAAAATTCTTACAGTGTCATCTGCCTAGGAATGCAAATTAACACGTCTCTGTTCATAGGGACAGAACTAGGTCATATTAAGGGAAGTCGAGCCAGGTGTGGTGGCTCACGCCTGTAATCCCAGCTCTTTGGAAGGCCGAGGTGGGTGGATCACCTAAGGTCAGGAGTTTGAGACCAGCCTGACCAATGTGGTGAAACCCCATCCCTACTAAAAATACAAAATTAGCCGGGTGTGGCAGTTTATGCCTGTAATCCCAGTTACTTGGGAGGCTAATGTAGGAGAGTTGCTTGAACCTAGAAGATGGTGATTGCAGTAAGCCAAGATTGTGCTATTACACTCCAGCCTGGGCAGCAGGAGCAAATATCTGTCTCAAAAAAAAAAAAAAAAAAAGATAGAAGTCTTCTTAGAGGCAGACATTCATTCTTCTATTCATTCAACCAAAATGTATTTCAAGTCCCCTGTGTACCGAGAATCATGCTAGGTATTGGGGATTCAACAACGAATAAGACAGATTTTCTCTCCCCACTGAGCTTATGGTCTAGTGAGGGAGACAGAGGACAATGCCATAGAACAAGAACTCTGGCGAGGTGTGCATGGAGCCTGTGGACATGCTCTGTCCATGTCTACCATGACTACCTGGGAAGCCACCAAGGGAAGCTCTCTGAGGTGAGAAGGAGGTGAACAGTGTGAACACAGCAGGCCCACAAACAGTGGAGGGTGCCAACAGCAGTTTTTGCATGAAGCATGGGTGGATGCAGGCAGTTATCCTAAAAAAGGAGAGAAAAGGCATGCAGTATTGATGGGAACACTGGCTTCACTTGTTCCCAGACTGGCTTCTCCTTCTTTGTCCCCTATTTAGCTGTAAAGTCAGAAAGCTGGATGTCATCTCGTTTTCTCCCCTCACATTCCAGCAATCACCCAATCCTATGAGTTATATGTTCTTTTTTTTCTTTCTTTTTTAATTTTTTTATTTTTCTGAGATGGAGTTTTACTCTGTCACTAGGCTGGAGTGCAATGACATGATTTCGGCTCACCACAACCTCCGCCTCCTGGGTTCAGATGATTGTCCTGCCTCAGCCACCCGAGTAGCTGGATTACAGGCATGCGCCACCACGCCCGGCTAACTTTCTATTTTTAGTAAGGACGGGGTTTCTCCATGTTGGTCAAGTTGGTCTCAAACTCCCAACCTCAGGTGATCTGCCTGCTTCGGCCTCCCAAAGTGCTGGGATTGCAGGTATGAGCCACCACGCCCCATCTGACCTTTTGTTTTTTCTTTCTTTTCTTTTTTTTTTTTAAAGATGGAGTTTCATTCTTCTTGCCTAGGCTGGAGTGCAATGGTGTGATCTCGACTCACGGTAACCTCTGCCTCCTGGGTTCAAGCAATTCTCCTGCCTCAGCATCCCAAGTAGCCGGGATTACAGGTGTGCACCACCATGCCTCACTAATTTTTGTATTTTTAGTAGAGATGGAGTTTCACCATGTTGGCCAGGCTGGTCTTGAACTTCTGGCCTCAAGTGATCTGGCCACCTCAGCCTCCCAAAGTATTGGGATTACAGGTGTGAGCCACTGCACCTAGCCAGGTTATATGCTCTTAATACTTCCCCAGTTGTCTGCTCCTCTTTTCATCATCTCTAGTTCAAGCCACTGGCATCTCTTGCCTGGATTTTCACAAGAGCCTTCAAGCCTCTTCATGGGGAAGTATGACATGCTCAACTAGACCTTGTGACCTTCCTCCACCAAACCCATTTCTCCTTCAGACTTCCCTATCTCAGTGAATCAAACCACTGTGCACCCAATGGGAAACCTACACATCACGGCCCTCTTTCTCACCCCCATGTCCATTATTCAGTCTATCTCCTAAAAGTCTCTTGAATCCTCTCATGTCTTTCTGTCTCCACTGACGGTTCCCCAGTCCAAGCCATCGCAATCACTTGCCTGGACTACTACAACAGTCACACTGGTCTTCCTGCTTTGACTCCTTGTCCTCATCTAGACCTCTGTGCTTCCACCCAGTGGTCAGAGTGATCTTTTCAAAATAAAACTGTAATCGTGCACCCTCTCCCCAAATCTTTCAGTGGCTTCTTGGTGCTTTCAGGACAGAACCAACACCTATGGCATGGCCTCCCAAGTCTGACCTCTCTCTTTCTGTGCCCCTTCCTCTCTTGTTTTTCGTGGGCTGCCTATTGCCCATCCATCAGTTCCTCAAACCTACTCTGATGTTCCCTTTTCTGTCTGAAACTTTTTACCATCTGCTTAATGCATATGCATCCCTCCTTCCCCAGCTGAGACATCACTTCGAAGGGAAGGCCTCCATGGTACTCCCACCCCTAGGTTAGCTTAGCCCCTCCTAGTGCATACACAGCTGTGCTAACTGGGCTAATTTTAACTTTGTTACCATTGACCTTAGGTGGGTCCTAAGTGCTTCCTGGTTAGCCTAGTACATTCTTTTGTCCACTTTTTCTGCCACTCTTCTGAACAACTGTTTCTTACCTTATTATTCTTCCAAACTTCAAATGCCTTCTCTGCCGTCTTCACCCTTACCTGATGACTTTGTTTCCTATCTCTCTCTCTCTTTTTTTTTTTTTTTTTTTTTTTTTTTGAGATAGAGCCTCACTCTGTTGCCCAGGCTGGAGTAAGTAGCTCGATCTTGGTTCATTGCAACTTCACCTCCCAGGTTGAAGTGATTCTCCTGCTTCAGCCTCCCAAGTAGCTGGGATTACAGGCACATGCCACTACGCCTGGCTCATTTTTGTGTTTTTACTAGAGATGGGGTTTCACCATGTTGGCCAGGCTGGTCACGAACTCCTGACCTCAAGTGATCCACCTGCCTCGGCCTCCAATAGTGCTGAAATTATAGGCATGAGCTACTGCGCCCAGCCTGTTTCCTATCTCTAATAATTGCTTCTGTTTTCTCAGAAAATGTCCACATAATATTCCTATCACAGCATCCACTTACGTAACTGCGTCTGCATCTGTGTGCAGTGCCTTCTGTTACCACGGATGAACACACTGTGCTAGCAAAGGTCAAGCCCCCCACTTGTCACAGACCCCAAACCTTTCTGCCTACTCAAAGACATTGTTCCAGCAATGCCCACCCTCTCTCTCCTCTATTCTCAATTTTTCCTTTGCTTTGGATCATTCCATATATAGTAATATATGGAATATAAAAATGCATATAAATGTGCTATAATTTCTCCTATTTCAGAAGAAAACCTCTTGATCCTACATCTCCCTTCAGCTACCACTCCATTTCCATGCTCCACTTTAAAACAAAACTCCTCAAAAGAGTTAATATTCAGTGTCTCTAGTCCTCTCCTCTTAGTCTTTCCTTAAATCGTTCCAATTAGATTTTTACTCCACCGTGCCCCCTTCAATCTAGTTGCTCTAGTTAAGGTCATGAGCTTCATTTCCAACTCCAGGTTGTTAAACGTTTGAGTCAGTTATCAGCCTACCTTTGTTGACTTTGCATTTGATGTTGACACTCCCTCCTCCTTGGAATACTTCCTTTGGTTTCCAGGGCACCACACTTCTGGTTTCTGCTTAGCTGGCAGGCACTCCCTGTCTATGTTTTTTTGGTGGCTCTTTTTCTTTTTCTATTACCGGATTGGTATAAAAGTATTGTTGGTTCTTTTTCATCTCCACAACTGAAAATGTGAGTGCCCCAGGGCTCAGGGGCAGTCCTTTCATCCCCTCCTTTCTTGTCTCCCTCACTCCTGAGCAGCCCATCGCCTCATGGCTTTAAATGCCCTGTTGGCCGGGCGCGGTGGCTCAAGCCTGTAATCCCAGCACTTTGGGAGGCCGAGGCGGGTGGATCATGAGGTCAAGAGATCGAGACCATCCTGGTAAACACGGTGAAACCCCGTCTCTAAAACTACAAAAAAAAAATTAGCTGGGCATGGTGGTGCGTGCCTGTAATCCCAGCTACTCAGGAGGTTGAGGCAGGAGAATTGCCTGAACCCGGGAGGCGGAGGTTGCGGTGAGCCGAGATCGCGCCATTGCACTCCAGCCTGGGTAACAAGAGTGAAACTCCGTCTCAAAAAAAAAAAAAACAAAAAAA